CCCATGCGCACTTTCTCCCAAGAGAGAGGGACTCCAAGCGCTGCTAAGAAAAGGAGCAAGGATGTAGCCAAGAGGGGGCACAGCCCGGCAGGAAACAATGCTAGCCCATCATCCACGTAGAGGAAAAAACCGTGCTTGACCCAAAGAAATTGGTGACAATGCCGGACGAGGAAGGCACCAACCCGCGAGAACCAGTAAGCTGCCCACCGACATCCAAAATAGCAAGACCTGTAGGCAAACCAGCGGCCTTTGACCACAAAGCAGGATAGACCCTGCTCTGCAGGGGCAACCTTCACCAGCTTGTGAGCTCCCCTCACATCGAAGTTCAGTGCGCCCCAGCACTCCCCAGGCTGGGTGAGTGACATGAAACGTTGCACACTTTCAAATGTTGGCAAGCGTACCTTTTCCTCAATCACACAACGGCTGTTTGCGCCAGAGACGGTGCCGTCCCCAATGAGACGAGGTTTTTTGCCAGGTGGTTGAGCAATCCCTAGTTTGCCCGCAGCTACAAGGTCACCCCAACGCAGCTTCGCTTCAGCTTCACCGCCAAGAAGTTCAAAAGCATGTCCTGCTGCCACGTCTTTTAGCGTGAGATCAAGTGTGAGATCTTCACGGTCTAGTCCACTCCGCCACGGTTGAACATGAATGGAAAGGTCATCTAATTATCTAATTGGGAATCCACTTCGGTGCAAACAGGTTCCCAAATGCCAGAGGCAGGGATTGGCTCCACCACACCAGTTGGAACCCCCTGCGCCAGTAATGGCGGCAATGAACAATCCACATCGTTGCAGTAAGCACCCAAAGCAGACCAAACGTCCAGGAGAAAAGGTTGACATCGCCCATTCCGCATCGTCCAGGTCTTTGAACGAATCCAACTTCAGTTTGAAACGTGTAAGCCAATCTTCGAAGACGTTCGAGTCGACAAAGGCATGCGCAAATGAAGCTTTGCGTTTGAAACCCATTTTCAGAATAGCCTCAACCACTTCCTCACATAAGCCCTCTTCTCCCATGGCTTTGCTCCACTCGCAAGCCATCACCAGCAAAGCAAAAACAAGTCAAACAATATACCAACTAAGTGCAGCAATAGCAACTTCTAGCTTTCTCAAGCACAGAGTTTTATATGCAAACAAATGTTGACGCGAGCGCGCCGCACCAGCTACCGCAGCCAAAGGGTAAGGCTAACCCACTTAAAAACAACCAGGCAAGGCTCACAGACCAAAGGCATGATAGAAACAAGGCGCACACGGCCCCTACCTGGAGTACCACACTCCAACAAGAGCACACAGCTCTGTTCGCAAACAAAATTGCAAAACCAGGAGCACCTCGCTCCAAGGAGCACACAGCCCCTACCTGGAGTACCACACTCCAACAAGAGCACACACCGCGCTCCCAAAAGCTCACGGCCCCTACCTGGAGTACCACTCCAACCAGAGCATCCAGCTCTGTTGGCAAGGAGCACCGCGCTCCGACCAGAGCACACGGCTCTTCCCAACACAGGTCTCCAAAATTGCCTTTTGCATCAGAACCATGAGTACCAGTTCACAACCCAGCAGCACACGCCGCGTGAGAGCAAGGCAGAAAAATTTCTTTGCTTTCTGCTGGATTGGTATGCCATACTTCCCACCGTGGAGGGCGCAATCGCTGCCGTGGGGCGCAGGCTCGCCCAAACTCATCCAGGCCAAGATTCACAGCTGCGTGGAAATAGGAAGTAGCTGTATTGACCACGAAAACACCGCTGGCCATGGTCAAGGCGGGTGGTTCAGCAGCCGCCGGAGCATCTACGTCCTCCAGATCAGACGCACAAAACTCTGAGGAAGAAGACGAGCTGCATGACGATGTATCTGTCTCGGTTCCAGAATCATTTGCATCAAGACCAGGTCCTGCTGCAGCCAAACCAAGCGGCGTCCACGCTAATCGATGGAGGGGCCCAGAAAGAGCCGATTCCGGCACAGGCGGCAAGAACCGCGCGCTTGCGGCGTGAGGGGAACCCACCCGCCACGAACGGAGTCTAGTACCTTCAATTGAGCTCTCAAGGCTGGGAGGACATCGTCCCGGCTGTACTTGGTTGTCATCTTTGACCCACTGTCGCCTCCACGATGGTCACCACGTCAAGTTGAAGGGCCCAGGTTAAACCTGTCGTTTTCAAGCTGTGCAAGGTATAGTTCCGCGCTTGCGCGGTCGAAAGGCCACCAATAGCCACCAGCAACTTGCGAAATTGCCCTAATGCGTAAGCCAAGCTGGCATGGGCACCACTAGGCCCAGGAATCAAAAAATCACCGTGTCCAAGATGGTCACATAGATGAGACACACCCTTGTCCCAACAGTCATGGGTCCCCAGAGTAAGCACTCCGAAGGGCATGCCATCCTTGGAAGTTTTGGTGCGATAACACCAGCCTCGCAAAATGCCACGCTCAATTTGACAAGAACCCAAAGCAAGTCTTTGAGCATCACTAAATCTCAACGCACCCCAAATCATGAGCAGAAAGGCAACTAAAGCCTAAAGCCAAAGTATCTTTGGTCACCACGGAGTCCAGATCTTTATGGATTTTTGTTTCAAATGCAGAGACCACAGAAAGTGGAAGAGGCAGCGCCTCTTTACGTGGACTCAAACTCGCTTGCGGCTCACACCAGGCCACCACTACCGAATGCCCCAAGGTCGTCAACCAAGCGTCCCAACCCATCAGCGCAGCCACAAATTTCAATGAAGCTATACCATTTTTTGCACCACGTGCAGTTTTACCATTGTACAGCAGAGCTTGTACGTATCCCACAAAGTCCATCAAAGGTGGATTGTAAGCAGGCCAATCGTGATGGCAGGCAAAGTCAAGCCACAAACGCCAACTTGGCAAGTGGCGACGCAGGGTGGAAGCCGCTTTCTTTGATAGCATACGCATCAAGCTAGGCTGCGCCAAGCCACCCAAATCCACAAAGTTTGGCGCGTGTGGCAAAAATTCTTCAAACAGTCCAGCCCAAAAGCGTACCCACTTTTGCAATTCAAACTCATCTGAACGCGCAGCACTTGCACAACTGTCACGAACATGCAGCGTCGTAGCCCAACGCGATGCGCCAACGTATTCAATGGCTGGGGCTGCAGCAATCTCTGACGGAGCGAGCGCAGGACTGCGGGAGAACCCCCACTGCCGCTTGGGGCAAGGCAGTCCCGGCCGCAAGCTGCTCACGTCACGAGAAGCTGCACGCACCAGGCGCGAAGGCCGCGGAAGCGGCATCCCAGGTCAGCAAGCCAAAAAAGAAATCTGAACCCAGGATATAAAGCGAAAACACCAAACCAGGCACAAAACACTCTGGGCTTCTTAACACTTGATCCATCAAGTACACAAGTCAACAAAAGGGTCGACAGCCAGGGTGAATTAGAGAGAGTGGTATTCTTACGCGCAAGCCCATAAGAATCCTACACATGCGGGCTCACCTCTGCCTGCAACTCCGAAGGTCTCTTGACAATCTCCACAGGTGCACACATGGAACGACAAAACAAAAGAGGAGTCAAACCTGCAGGAAGGACCAGTGCTCAAGTTCACATCCGCCTTGCGTCGCACTGAGCACTCCAGGATGGGTCACCCCCGACAAAGGCCGAGCGTTGGTAGACCAAGCCCGTCAATTGTGTTTGGATCGGCTCTCACTGCTGACGACTGGTGGGGCTTGCATGCCACGCTGCGCAGCCAGCCGCAGGGCCATCCACATCGAAGCCTTCGCCTCAACAAGCTGGTGAATCATTGAGATTGTCGGAGAGAGCAGCCCACGCCAAGGCGCCAAGCGCAATAGAAGAAGGGGAGCAAGACAGCAAGAGAATGTTGTACACTGCGTTCTCCAGTTCAGTCTTACAGCCGCTTTGAGTCGACAGTTTGACAAGTAATTACTGTACAGTACATCGATTTGTTTCCACAGTGAAGTGAAGTGCCCTTCGTCCTGGGCGCCTCGACCCAGGGACTTCATGAGTTCGGCATCGTCAGGGTCATGGACCACTATCATCGGCAGCTCTGACTGGGACAACACAACTGAGCACCACAAACAACAACTCCATTAAGCCCTTCTCTGCTGTACAACCATTATAATTAGACATTGTCACATTGTATACTAAAAGACATCCAAACACAACTTGGTGCTGAGAAATCAGAGGTGTCCAGCCAGGCATTTAAGACCCAGCATTGTCTAGTACTGAGTACTGACCAAGGGTAATTCAAAAGTATTTCACTGGGCCCCGTTCTCAAGAAAACAACATGCTCATCCTGGAACAAGTGTAGAGTGCTGGTCATCGTGGTAGTAGTCAAGTTATGAAACTTCCACAAGGACTTCTTGTGCTCGCCTCGAAATCTTCCGGCTCTCAAGATGAAACTCTGTTACCTTAGCGTTACAAGTTACTCCCTTCTTTATCTTCTTTCAATCAACATGACCAAAAGTCCTTGTGGCCATAGCACGGATGACAAGATTTGAAAGACCCAACAGTCTGCGATCAGGGCGGGGACCAAGTCACAATATCTGGGTTCTTTGGCAGCCGCCCCTCGATGTGGCCCTGCAAGCTCTGTTGCACCAGGAACTGGGCTCCATGAACGTCCGCATGGGATCTGCTGCACCAGTGTGAAACAAAGTTGGTGAGTGTAAAAACGAAGCTGGAGTTCCTCCACGACTGTCCTGCCGCAAGCAACTCTTCACATCTTCAGCTCACAAATGCTGGCGACCCGCGTTGGAAAAGGGTGGTGATGGCAGGATTGGCTTAACCGCACTTGCGTAAGCCTTTGTGCGGGTCAAGCATGGCCCTGGAGCCCGATGGTTGGCAGAGTCAAGGTGAATCAAGTGCGTAGTGTACTGCAAGGCAGGCGGGGTGAGTCAAGACGCAGCAGCTCTACTCCATACCTCGCAAATTATATAGATCTTGTCATTCAAGCATATTCCAAGCAGGGTTATAATGCTTACTCTGGCCCTTATTCAGCAGACTGTTTTATGATGTTTTATGCATTCAGGCGGCCAGCTCAGCAAACACAGCTAACACCTTTCCTTCCAGTCCAAATGGAATGAAGCATGCAAAGATTCAGAACATCTGCACTTTTTTGGCCTCTACGGGGTTTAGTTGTGCTCAGTACAAAATGATCGGAGCATCGGCATGTGTGCTCAGCCACTTCTTCAGTGACTCAGCTCACACGCCCGGACTCTACACGAGCACCCAAGTACATCTTCAAAAGCATGAGGTTGTAGTTGGTGACATCATGAACCTGATGCACGCAATGGGTCAAATGTACCATCTAAGAGTCGTGCGGATGAACCAAACAACAAAGACACTACAACTCACCACGGCAACTGCCTCCGAACGAGTCAGAGTTGGTGTGCCAGAACTTCATGTGTCTTCCAAGTCTGTATATATAGCTCACTTCAATCTACAATACGGGGTTGTACTTGCAGTAGCTCGAAAACGGACCAGTAGAAGAGGAAAAAAAAACAGGAAGAAGTCCAAGTTGCCCCATCACCTGCCCTAGCTTTGCAATGCGCATTTTAGGCCAAATGTTGGGCTTTGCAAAGTCGCTCCACTGGTCATCCAGCCAGGAGGCAGATTCAAAGGAAGCGGAGGCGCCAATCCACCATGTCTTGTGTTGGCCTTGGAGTTGAACGAGATCCCAAGGCATACCTGGCCACGGGAGGCAAAGGTCTACACCTCCGACTTCCTCAAGAAACCAAAGTGGGCAACCGTCTCCACATCTTGATTCACCGAAAAATCATCGTCATCGTCTCACCGTCTCGTGCAAAGGACGAAGAATTCGCCTTGTTGGATGGCTTCACCAGAGAAGTGGTGGAAGTAGGGCCAAGGGAACTGGCGCAAAATCGTGACATCCTTCACTTGCTGCTTCTCCAGCTCCTGCCAAGTGTTCGACATCCATCTAGAACGGTGGGGGTGCGGAGAAATATGACACCCGGAAGAAAGAAAAGTAGTCGACTGGGGGCACTAAATCGCCAGCCTATACCGCTCAACAGAAGAGGAAAACTAATAATATGGACATAGAATGACATAGACATGTTGCCCAGTTTATGTTGGCTTTGGTTTCGCGTGTTCGGAATCAACCTGCCGGGGGCGTCCCAAGAACACCCCCCCAACAAGAATCCAGCGATTTGGAGCTAAGCGAAGGAGCTGAAGTAAAAATTGAGTACCTTCCCATGTCCTATCAGCCATGCTGTGAAGGCCAACAACCTGCCGCTGGGAGCCAACGCCTTCTCGTTTGCTCTGGTGGGGAGGTGCTGCCCCCTGCCCCCCCAGTTCCCCTCCAGCCTCATGAAACCTGCACCAACCCAAAACTTTAACCTCAATCAGAGAGCCATCTGGGCCATGCTCTACCATCGATGAGCTGCGGCTTCGCAGAAGCCCTAGGGATAGAGCAATCACAGAATCAAACACTCGACAAACAAGAAAAAAGACCAACCAACCAGCCGGCCAGCAAACCCACCGACCAACCAACCAACCAACCAACCCACAAACCCAGCGTGTGGCGCGCACCGGGAACCCCAAAAGGATCCAGGACCACCAAAACATTCCAAGACAATGTTTGGGACAAAGACGCAAACGAAGAAAAAAAGTCAGAATCTGCGAACTTCAAGCACTCAACCCCCAAAAGAACTCAGCACCTTCCCAGGCCGAAAGTCGGCGATGTCCAGGTTTGGGATCTCTAAAAGTGATCTCTGCCTCAGATCTGAGTGGAATCTCCACAAAGCTCCTCTTTGAACTTCTCCAGCACCGTGGGCGCTGTTCTCATGATGCTCTTCCTCATTGAACATCGTCAAGCTGGTCAGGAAGTTGAAGAACACCAGGAGTTGAAGAAAACGAAATGGATTTCACTGGTGAGAGGAATACAAAAAGTCACACTCTTGGGATAAAGTGCCTGAAACTAAAGCAGTTGATTTGTCCACTCAAAACAAGGAAGCGCCAGTGAACCAGACCATGTCTAAAAAACACTCTGAGCATCTGATTCGGCGTTCGGTCGCTGTCACACAGCATCTCCTCCCCGGTGGGGCAAAAGTTCCTTGTCAGAGCGGAGCAGGCGGTGGTCTTACGGAACCTCGTGCGTCATGCAAATCGGTGGATGATAAATGCAAGTTTAACCCTTAAAAAGGAAGGAACAATATCCATCACATTGAGCGAGCTTTATTGGTGCCTAGCTTTCTGCTGCCAGCATCCAGCAAGGGAATAGAGTTCCAAAATCTGCAATAGCATTGAACGGCATATGTCTAACAAGACACCTGGGGAAAATATCTGAAGTATTCTAATAACCTTCTGTGGCGGACGTTCCCAAGCGAAGATGTGACATTTCACCACTGGATCGCCCTTATGTTCATGCAAGGAGTCCTCGCGTTCCAATCCCAGTCAAAGGGATCCAAACTCATCCAAACTCCATTCTCCAAAATGTGCATAAGAAAGTCGCATCACAATTCCTAAATTTATAGAGATAAATTTAGCTTAACTGTCGCATTCCACCACAAATATCTGGACTGAAAATGCAAGCATGCGTCTCGTAGAACTGATATCCCACTCGAACTTGGACTTCCTTGAGACGGGATACTGGTCCCCGAAGAAAAAGTGCAAGGAAAGAACGAACTACAATAACTACTACAATGATGTCTTGACATAAATCATGTCGATTCCTTTACATCAAGAAAAATCCGCTCAATGTTAGTCAAAGGAGTTGCATAAGCATCCTTCGACAGATCTGCCAGGCCGCCGGATTGTAGACCTCACCGAAAATGATGTCATCGTAGCGGTCGGCATACCATGATCCATCGGCCTTGGGGCCCGACATTTTGTCCGCGCTGTACATGATGGGCCGTTCCGTGTCCTCGGTGGGCCATGTGAACGATATGGTGGTCACATGTGGGTGCATCCAGAAGCAAAGAACCTCCAACTCAATGGGTGGTCAAAAAATGTCGGGTACACGCCTTGCGGACATCCACTGGCAAACCGGGCTGCAGCTGTTGCTTGAAACGATTCATGTTGTCCGAAAGACATTGGCCAAGTGGCATCGGTATAGTCCACCACCGGCGCACTGGTGTAAAGGGTTGTGGCCAAAACGAAACTGTTTAAGCTGTCAAAGATTCGCTCCTCTTCAGGAGTTACGTCCTTCCAATGCACAAAAACAGCGCTGTGGCTATGTCCATGTCCGGTCACCAAGCTGTTACAACGGAAAGCCCTATTGAGTTCGAGTGATTGCAACAAAGTATGCAACCCGCGTTTCGCTCGTTTGGAACAACTAAACAATGCAACGGTTCCTCTGCCATCGGGATTTTTTCTGGCTAGCAGCTGACGGCACAATGCACATCCGTTTTTTCCGAGTTGTTTACACTTCACTTTACACTGTGTTTTTCTTCAATATGCTTCGGTTGTCGATCAGACATGTGCCAAGCAACTCTCAAAATCAGAATTCATCATTGAAACCTGACCCTGTGAGTGTTGCATAGTAAAGTCCTCCATGGCAGGTTTTCGCGTTGATCGCGGTTGATCCCTGGGCAATCCCACGTGCAACGCATCTGTGGACCGTCCTTCACATACTTTTTGGCGTGAACGTGTGGCGCAGTGTAGATGAGAAAGTCGTAGTCCTCGTACACCAACTTCCCGTCCTGTCACACAACAAAGTCTTCTTTCTTGGCTGCACTTAGTTCCGCAGGTGTGTGCACACAGTGTCTTGGTGGGTAAAATCCGCCGACCCCGGTCTAGGACGATGAACGTGGGCGTGGGCGGGACTCCGGTGAGCGGTGGACGATGTCATTTGCCCGTCACTTTACCAACCATCTAAAATGACAAGTGTTCAAAAATTCTAGAGTCGCCGCCAACCGTCGAGATCTTTTCGCGGGAGAAGCGTTGCCCTGGATCTGACCTGGGGTTCGACTCCCCGTGCCCCCCTAGGCAGGGCATCCCCCCAAGAAGCGGAAGCCCAACATGAACACAGAGGAAGAGAAAGGGGAAGAGAAAGAGCAAGAGAAAGAGAAAGAGAGAGAGAGAGAGGAAGCGAAAGAGGCCCGGAGATTAACGATCTCCCGAACTGGAAAGAGAGAGAGAGAGAGGGAGAGGGATGTGGGTGCGGTGTTTGCGTGGTGTTCTTAGTGTTTTTAGACATTTCGTGATGTTTTGTGATGCTTTCCATGGTTATGGCTATATTGATGTTATCTGCATGTCTGGTTGTATATATAATTTTCTTGTTCATAGTGCTGTTGCAGACAAAGTGCAATCAGACTGCAGAAGAGTACTGTAATCACAGTGGTAGGACATCCTATGTATTAGAAGAGACACTTACATGCAGATGTTCCGCGCGTGCATAGTGACATCGCCGCTATGCACAAAGCCCCCCAATGAGCACACAAAGCCTTCAAATATCTAGCATCAGAACGAGCGTGTGCACAACATCAGGAGTTCTTGCAAGTGTAAGAACTTGTGTCGATGGCTTCTTGGGGAAATGCTTCGTCTGGGCTCTCTTCTTAGCGGCATATTGTGATTGAGATGTGCCGAGAAAAAAAGCCAACACATAGAACTTGGAAAGGGAAGTGTTAATCCCCTGAAGCTTCTTCAAGGAGCGAATTCTTTGATGGCAAGGGCACGTGTCAACATGCGCTCATAGAAAGTTTCATAGCAAGTTTGTTGGCGGTGTTCAAAGCGCTGCACGCACAGCAATGAGAAGGAATTCTTTTAGGAGCATTTGATCTAATCTGTCATTGCAAATGGCTAAGGTTCATGTTGTGAAGCAAATGATTAAGCAGTCTTTAACATTGTGAAGGATGACTGTGGTATGTATTAGCAGCGGTTATGCCTCGGAACAAATGATTAAGCAGTATGCAATATTGTGAAGGATGCACGTTGTATGTACTACAAGCGGTCATGGAGTCATGCAAACAAACACCCTGTTGTATAGCTGACAGTCCCTATGTTCATCTCCTCTCCGTACAAACACAAGTAGAGAGACGTACTGGTTACTTTCCTTGAGGGAATACATTCACCAGACCAACTGTGTGTGTTTATCGTTTCATTTGAAATTGTGTATATCTCACAAAATATACTGACCACTGGACCACACATATTGTTTCTCTCTATGTTCATTGAGGCGCAAAGACTGTATCTGTTGAATGAACACCTTCAACATGCAAATTACTAAAACAATCTAAACCATGGGTGTTCAATGCAAAAACACTGGAAAACAAACAACCGTATAACGTCCTTTTCTGAAAAAAGAAGAGGTGCTGTATCCTTTTAGCCTACGTACTATTATGGTCCAGGCAATGACGGAAACCACAAGCTCACTGGTACCAGCTACAAAAGTCCCAAACTTGCAATCCCGTCGCTTCAAGTCCTGTCGGTACTTGATCTTCACTGGCGCTGTTGGATCGTTCAACTTCCGGTCGATATTCAAGATCTCTACACCGAAGCGAACATCCAAGGCATCCTTCTCTGCGATGGTGGTCCAAATCCTGACTCTGGAGCTGCAAAACGCGTGGAGCTCTCAAGTTCGACTGAGAGAAGACCTCGTCATTAAAACACGTGACTGACTCATCTATGTTGGGAATCTGCGCTTAGTATATTACTATAAATGTAAAGCCGACACCACCTCGCTGAAGCCTCGTGGAGCAAAACTAGCATACGAAAAGGCCTGCACAGCAAACTGGTGATGAGCTAATTCTTGCGCTCCCTGGTGACTTGACTAGGATGATCGTCTACGTTCAATTATCGAAAGCAGCTCCAGGTTGAACCCGAAAGAAATGTGATTCCCAAATATACATTCAAAATCTGTCAGCTTCCAGAAAGCAGGAAATAAGAACGGCGAGGTTCTTGAACTTCTCCCCCCAACTGCCAAACTAGGCCAAACAAACTGGCATGACCATTCTACATCTATTCTCACATGTACGTACTCCATGTAGCAACATCAGAATGTTGTGTAGTGCATTATCATCCAAAAATATCTCTGGACTAAGAGGTGTACATTGGGAAGGCCACATCATCTTGCGTACGTCCCCCAAACCTCGAATTGGGGAGGCCCTAGTAGCGTCCTTGCTCCTAGTAGTAAGGCCAGGAGCCCCTAGTAGCTTCTTGTTACTGGTAGTAAGGATGCTCCTAGTAACTTAGTAGCGGTGCCAGGAGCCCCTAGTAGCGTCCTGGTCCTAGGGTCCTGCAGGCGCCTGGTTAATTACAAAAACAAAAAACCGCAACAAGGACATGATGAAATACACATTCCCCCAACAAATGATCTCGGCGCGGGTATGTTAGATTTCAATGTATTTCCGTTTTCTTGCCTATTGCCTAAGAATTTGTAACCCGAGTCACTCGGGCGCATAGGACAAATGACCAAAATGACCATCCCACCTCGACCTAAAGAATGACTCTGAATTGTAGTCCTCACCATCTGAAACCCAAGATGTTTAAACTTGTGGCCGTCACTGCCGGAAAAGATCCCAGCCAATTCTCAAATGTTGAGAAAACGTTCCCTCCATGCGTCTTCTGATATCCTTCCGGCAGCATGGTGGTGGTACGAGCCACCACATCGGCAGTGCCCCCCACCAGCCACCGCACCAGGTCCTCAGCGATTCGCATCGACTGGCATAGGGTTGCCGAAAAAGGTTTGCACAAAGGACAAGGGGATGAAACCATGTGGATCAACTATCCAGATGCTCCATGTCCTGATGTTAATTTTCAAAAGGCCAACTTAACCTACAAAACTGGACATGCGACATGTGTACACCAAGAGCAAGTGCACTGACTAACCTGCAGCGTTCCCCTGGCCGCGTCTTGCAAACAAGAAGCTTGCACTCCAGATCCCATCATCGCTTCGCTGATCTTACCTGCCATCGAATGACCTTCCGGTTACACACTGACTGTACCAATGGACTGAAGCATAATCTGATGATCCTTAAAACTGGCCAAAGATAATCGACTGTGTAATTTGGCGACAGATCCATACCAACCAAATATACATATATACATATGTACATATATACATACATATACATATACACATATGCAGACATATATATATATATCTACACATGCATATCCTACTTTGTTTTTCCTCGTGTCTTTTCCGACCATGCTCACCGCTGCTCTATGAGTGGAGATCTCATACTTCGGCATCTGCATGAGCCCTTGAGACCAGAACTCCAAGTTTATGCCCATCTCAATCTCCTGGAGGTCTTCTTGGAGTCTCAGGGCACAGAGGTGCTTGCCTTCTTGCCCATCAGCACTTTTGGTGAAGAGTGCTCCTTGATGCCAGGTCTGCCGTGCCACATTTTGCGGTTTGGTCAGTTGTCTGCTCAATCTCTTCCAAGGCAGCCAATCCAAGGGTTGCTGGACCTCTTGGAGCATGGACCGCTTGTTGATCTTCATGACCGTTTCCCATTTTCTTGCTCTGGCCAACTCTTGTTTGAGGAAAAACCAATCCGCATGCATGTTCAATGCACTCTGGCTCTCCGTTGTGCCCTGGCTTGGTCCATTCATCATGTCTTTCACAACTCCAGCCATGCTCCACCAGATAGCATTGTAAAGCCACCGGCCCTTTGGCGTGTTGCCATGGATGCTTGACTGACTGCAGCTTTTCCCCGTGGACATGCCAGGCTTTCTCAAGATCTCTCTGCGGTATAGTTTGACCTGATCTTCAAAGGCACCATAGTCTGGATTTCTGTGGTTAGGCTGCATGTCGAACAGGATGTCAATATTTCATGTCTTTTGCAAGCCCATTTGGCGCCCCATGGTGGCTCTGAGCCTTCTGCGGACTTGTGGAGCCAGGCCCATTGCCCCCAGCTGATGCCACAATGGAGCCCTTGTACAACTTCAAGCGAATGGCCTGGAGTGGAATCTTCAAAGTCTGCATCTTCCTCGCTTTCCTTCCCGCTTTTGTTCTGCGGTTGCGCATCGTTTGGACGCGTCTGAGTCGGCCTGCTTGCTGCGCAGTCCACTCCTAATCCCTCATCACGTCGTGAATCCGAGGGCCACCTTGAGGAAGTTGTTCCTGTAGGATGCGCTTGACTGCCATCCTTTTCTAGTTCTGTTTTGGATGGCCACTCTGGCAGCATTGTGTGGACCCCGATCCACGACATCAAAACTGAGGTCGTCTATCCAGAGGTCAGTGTGGAGCTGAGGGTAGTGACGGCTGAATTCCCGAAGGGCCCTCTGAAGGTACACTTTGGCCGCCAGCGGGGCTTGTGGGTCCAGGATGCCACAAAGGCTCTGATGCCCTGCTTCCAAGATTCTAGCGCCGCTGTACACCTGCATAGCCATTGCTGCATGTGTGGCTGGATAGGAGGAATCCAACCATCTGGTAGCCAGCTTTTGCAGACTGATGCGGCCGTAGAAATTGGAAAGGTCCAGCAAAACTGACACCACTGTTCTGCGGTGAGCTTGTTGACGCTCTGTCATGAAGGCTCTCTTCAAAGCCACTTGCAAGCACTCCGTTCCCGGCACTGCCCGTTTTCACGGGTATTCATCTTGAATGTTCTGAGCCCAGCTTTTGGTGTAGCTACTCCTCAATCTGCACCATGGGCGGTACATGGTGGCCAAAGCTATTGGCCGTTCTATCACCTGTGATTTTGGCAGCAGTGCTATCAGCGAGGTCCCCCATTGGCTGGATATCATGGCCTAGATGCTGCCCATTTGTTTGGTAAGGTTGTCGGCCTCCTGGTTGAGCCACTTGACAGCCACCTGTGGTGGTTCTATCTGATGCCATTCTCGCTCTGGTTTGTCAAGTTTTGGCGCAGGGCCGTACTTTGAAAGCTGTCTCACCTCCACTTCCTCAAAGTGGCCTGCTATGCTGAACCTGAGCGTGGCATGCGGCTTGAAAGGAACCATCCAGTCCGTCTGGACCTGCATGTCCGCAACCCTTCAAAGTCAAGGGCTGAAGAAGGGGGAGACACACACACAGTTTCTTTGCATCACCCATGCGGTACAGTGAAGACAAAGCGACTGGTTGTGCAGTTTTTGGCTCAGGATGTGCGGGGCGAACCAGCACGGGACCTGAGATGGGGAGGCCAGCCAATTCTTTGTTGGCTGACAACACTGAAGCTCAGGAGACATACCCGGGCTTCACAGGGGGTGCTGGGGACATGGATGCCACCATGGTCTCAGCAAGTGAACATGAAGAGCAAGGGATGAGGGCAGAACCTATGAGGGGTCAGATGGGGCCTCTTGATTTTGTGGCACAATGCCTGCAATGCAGGCTGGGAAACCCAAACAATCGATGCTTCGCCAATGCTGCGTTCCGCCTACGGTCTTGGGCAGGAAGTTTCCTGGCAAAACGCGGCGGATGCAGTTCTGGAGGCTCTGAGGGCAGATGAGGTAGTTCATTTGCCACACCTTCCGGGCCTGGAGAAGCTATGGGAGCAATTCGATGACAGTAAGCAGGATGACGCTTGTGATCCAAAGCTGGCTATCATCAGGTGGATTACCGGCAAGAAGTCCACCAGCACAAAGCATTTCCTATTCATTTGATTTTCCATGCTGATCAGGGCACTGAGGAATTTGAACAACTCATTGCCACATGGGCAAACACTGCTGAAGGGCAAGTCTTTGATGGACAAGGGCTGTGGGTTGCACAGATTGGAAGGTACATGCAGGTGAATGGTGAGTGGACAAAACATCATCGAGCGCTGCAGGTCCCATCCATTTTCAACTTACCTCTGACCCTGAACGGACAAGAGACCAGAACAGAGCAATTTTCGGTCATTGGATACCTCTGTCATTCAGGAACGGCTCATCAACAAGGTCATTTCTTTGCTGTTTTCATTTACAGGAGGACTCTACTGGCTGGTTGACGATGGTGCATATCCCAAAGCAATTTCGACTCTCACTGAGAAGACCAAGCAACAAATTCTGCAGGTGTGGGCAGTTCCCTCCGCCAGACTGCTGCCGCAACGATCGAGTGTGACGTGAAATCAGGCAACAGCAGTGGAGGCCCAATTGAACCGGGTCTCAAAAGGCAGTGCAAAGAGAACATACAGTTTGATTTTGCCAACATCACCCAGTTGGGGCAAGCAGTCCGACAATGGATAGTCACCAGACTGAAACGCATTTGGGGCAAAATGACCATGAGAAGATGGAGAACCAGCGGCTGAAAGTGTCAAGGGGGGCACCAAAAATGGAGGCTTTTTGATGGTCTTCCCGAGTCATTTGCATTTCCACTTTGTGCAAAAGCAAGTCATAGAAGGATGTGGTTGGTATGGGGTGACCTGGACTTTTGGCAACAGTGAGCTGGTGCTAATCATGGCTTATTTCAAGTGTGGAGAAGGCCTGCAAGGCCCGATCAATGCTCAGTTGTGGGCCGGCTTGATGGCTTTTGTTAAGAGTTTGCAAAAGCCGGCGCTAGTTTTTTGAGATTTCAACATCACCCCGGAAGTCTTCATGACTATCCCAAGTGGTGCAGGTCCAAGTCTTGGCCACAGGAGAGGAAACTTGCAATACAGGCAACGAGCTGGATTGGGCTATAGTCTCGTCGTGTTACCCACATTTCCTTCTTTTTGCGGCGCTCTCCACGAGCTTCGTTGCCACATCTTTCACCTGGGCCGAAGTGGCCTGAAGCCCCACACTGGCCATTGCAGTGACCAAGGCCTCAGGCGAAAGTTCGTCTGCCATTTCAGCATCTTCTTGCTTTTTCATTCTCTAGCTGCTGGTTGTACTGTGTCGTGGTTGTCTGCAGCTCCTTTTTGGGCCGCTTCAATCTTGCCCTGCAGCTCTTTGAGGTCTTGCAACAACTGCGTGTATTGTGCCTTGACTGCATCAGCTTTTGTCTGCAGTGCTGCCTTCTTTTCTGTTAGCTGCTTGAGCGTTCCCACTGCCTGCTTGACCTTCGAGGCCAAAGGTGGCTCGGGAGGATCTGGTGCTACCAACTTTTCAACTGCCTCTTTGAGGTCTGCAGGTAGGCTTTGTAGATGCTCCTTTATCAAGGTCGGCAGGTCAGGTGTTGCCGGTGGATCTGCCACCTTGACCCCAACTGCTGTACACTTCTCCTTGAAAGCCTCACGAAGCTGGTCCCAATGGTCTTTCAATGCCCTTTGCAGGGCTGGGTCTTTTGTCTTGCTGGCCTTTTTGGCCTTCTGTCCCCCTTGGAGGCCTGGTGGTGGCTCAAGCAAGGCCTCTTTGAAGGCTTTGCGAGGCCAACGTTGACCTAGTCTTTTTGCCATTGTGCCCCGCATAGATTGCAGGTCAGGTTCGGCCTTGTCATCAGCCGATCCTCCCAAATGCAGCTTTGGTTGCACTTTGTGCATACCTTGTAGTGTCTTCTCATGTTCTCCTTCTCTGGCTCGATCTGGCCTGAGTGCTCTGCCGTCTTGTAGATCGTGTAGTACTTCTCAGCACTGAGACCGCAACTCTCGTGCTTGATGCTGAAATGGCTTGAGCCAAAGCCAAAGCTTGAGCCATGCATATCCTACATATATATATATACATAGAGAGAGAGAGAGACAGAGAGCTCCTCGACAATTCATGACTTTGGGGAGTGAGCTTAGTTGTGTTGAACACCTCTGGACATGTTAAAAACACAGCATGTGCAAAACATGCCAGGTATGCAATTGCAGCTGTTGATAATTTTTCATCGGGTGTCTATCAACACGGCGCGATCAAATAGGAACATAGAATATGTCAGCTTTCAGAAGAAATTCGAGAGGTGGCCAGTCTCATGGCTCAACCATATGAGTGGAACAACCCCAAACCTCTTTTATCCCGGTCACAAAGCGTGATTATTCTTCCCAGGAGGGAAAAAGATTTCAGTGCTATATACCTGTACAGTAGGACCAATCCTTTCAAGCAAAGGAGCTGACTGGGTTCGTGCCAAAGAGGAGGTACTTCTCCAGCTGCTGGTGGAAGCTCATCTGAACGTATCCGTTCAGAAGCTCCTGATCCACGAATCTGTGAACAGTTTTAGCGCGAAACACAATACCCTTGACATCCCTCGACGAAGACAGTGGTGAGACAAACATGTGGGGGAGCATGGCAGGCATGGCGGGGTGGGGTGGGCAGGGTAATAACGCCACCGTCACGACTTCGTTCAACAGCCCTTGGTTCAACTTAGTGCGAAACCACTGACTACTGGAGGCACTCCCAGAATTTGCTGATTGAAGAACTGGTAGTTGACGATTGTCAAACTTGGACGACCGCGCTGGCGCTCAGTCGGCAGGTTTCGTGTTTTTTTCGCAGTTTTTGAAGGCGGCAATGACCTGCCTCGGCAATGACCATGCAGGAGATGTGTGTAGTGCTAGTGTTGATTTTGCTGTTTCGACCCAGTAGGATTGGTTGTGAGGGAACTCCGACCTCTTTTGGGGGTATGCTTTGCAAGCACATTGAGCAACTTTTTTTCGCCCCAAGTTCTTTCCAATGCCCTGTGAGGGTTCACGTGTTCCTTCACGGCAGTGGCCTACCTTCAACCCTTTTCGTACAAGAGTACGAACATAAAAATGCCTGTCACAACCCTGCACCCAGTTTGCACATCATGCTCTCACCAACAACCTGACAGGTTTCGGGAGAGATCCACCAAAGCCCATAGAAGGCAGGGATGGTCGTGACATAGCCATATCCCTGTGCTGCGTGTGCAAACATCAGGAAGCCACTGAGCGCGTGCAAGTCGTTCTTCTCTAGAAACCTGGCTGAGAAGCTGGCAAGCACATCCTCTCAACAGGTCGCCAAAAAGTCCGCAGTGATTGCCTCCAGATTTTGTTGACCGTCTTTGGAGACACGGGGCGACGGGCCACGGGCCCTGAAAAGGAAAATGCCGGGCTTCTTGACATGAAGGCTTCTGAAAGCAGCATATAATTGAAAGTATATAGATTGGAATTGGGTCTATCCTATTACCTGTAACAGGGGATGATGATGGTTAGTAGAGGCCTTGTCCAAAAGTAGTGATAATTGTTTGCTGACTGTTACAGGTATTAGGACAAACCCAAGATTAGAACACCATTGGTCCATTGTGACTGGGATTCGAATTCACCCCCATGAAACGAAGCTCCAAGCTGCCGCTTTGATACTAGCGATCCGATTCGGTTCCCCAACGGTTCAGCTGGAGAATCTGCAAACCCACCGAACCAAATGCCCATCTGTCACACTATCAGACCTCTTCGTAGTTCTCCACCAAGACCAATCCTAGATTATCATTGAAGAAAAAACAATCATTATGCTGTCATTTAAAGTCCTGCTTCGGTGTCACGTGGAAAACCCCCAGGTTCGAGAACTTCGCGCACGTTGGGCCACGAAACTCCAGGAAGGTCATGTCGATCCGGCGCAAGTTGTTCTCACTCAGACGTTCAGGCATGGAAAACTCCACTTTGCCAAAGATCTCCCTGAAAGGCTCCAAGTGCCAAGAATGATCAGTCGGACGGGAGGATTGAAAAGGTACAAAGCGTGGGCCCGAGGCCGTTTGTCGGAGGGTTGAGTCTCAAAGTCCACAGGCATCTACAAGAAGAAACTCCTGATATTACATCTTCTGTGAGGTCTCACCATCGGACTGTGTTGAGCAGTTGCCCTGATCAAACATGTTCCATTAGCTTGGCCTCCCAAAACTGGTGGGTTTCTCAGTTGCACATACAACCCAAACATCCGAGAAAGTTCGATTTGCAGGCTTTCTTGCGATGCGTGTGGGTCCAGGAACTTAGGGCTGAGCTGGGGAGTAATAAGGAAGCAGCTCAGCGTTTCCAGATTGGGGAATTGCCACCTGACTTCTTTCCATCGCTGCTTCCAATGTTTTCAAGAAGCGATCTAATATGGAAGTAGTAGTAGTAGTAGTAGTAGTAGTAGTAGTAGTAGTAGTAGTAG